AAAAATTTTCAAAATACTGATCCAGGCAATATAATGGAAACAAACTGAAGGGTTTAACAATTTCAGTGCCAAATTAATCGCTCTTTATGCAATCAACCACCTCGAACAACTGATGCAATTCAAGTTTAGACTTGAAGTTTACACTATTGAAACATTTAAAAACCGAACCGAAAACTAATAACGTTTTGACGGAAATAGTGATGTGATACGAGGGTACAAACGATGAGCTATGAAGGTGAAAAAAACCGCAACAAAATTATAAACATCCGCAAAATGATTAGTGCTAAAAAACGAAAGAATTGTCACAAAAACATATTCTTAAAGTAACCCTCAGAAAGAGTGCAGATGTTACGATGCAAACCAACAATTCAAATGTTCGACGAGCCTTACAATTCTAAATTAAATGTTGAGAAATGAACGCCAAAAAGCGTTGTGCACGGAAGGCTTTGTGTGCTTTATGAATTAAGAACAGGCGAAGAGGATGAAACTGAGACATCTGAATACACGAGACTCCCGTCGAGTTGATACACTCATCAATCTGAGTGTGTCGTCTTCTGGAATTGATTCCGGTGACAAAGCGCATAATTCAATCGCGAACCCGTTGTAATACCAATTTTTATCTCAGCAAACATTGACATCAAAGTGCTCTGTGGGAAACACTGCCGTGTGCATCTTTTATATTGACTGTACAAAACATTTTCAGGAATACTTTTGCTGCCGAGCGATTATTTATGCGCTTGCCGAACAATTATTTATCACAAGCGATAGATACGAGCACATTTCGCTAATTTCAATAAACACTAATGGAATGAAAACTGCAATGAAATACAACCAGCCGTATCAATGCAAACGACAGCAAAAAACCTGAAGCGAGAAATTTCAACAAACGAATAGCACATGAAACTGTTGTGGAGTTGAGCGATACTTCTGCAGATGTGAATAGTGTTTGATTGACATAGTTAGTGGTGGTGACATTTTGTGGAAAGAAGAATCCATAATAAATATCGATTTGTCAACTTTTGATAGCACATAAGTAATGTAAACAGGAACGTGCATCAA